ACTAGCTCTATTACTGACTGGTCATTTAACCTCATTTTCAGATGCCTTGGTTCTCTTTAATTACCTTTATCACTTTATAAATAGAGAGTCAAACCTAATTTAAACACACCCATATGGTGACAATTTTTGTTAATCCTTATTGTTTCTTGCATTTCCTACATTCTAACTGGAATCATTATTCTCCGTGTTGAAATAGTACCCTTAAATATGTCTTTATATACTCTAGAGATTAGAGCTCTATCTGAACTGTGAGGGGTAAAAATTTGTTCCCAGGATGTAGGCTCCCCATTTACCTCACATATTATTTCTCTTGCTGAGAAAAAACTTTTTAGTTTGAATTCATCCCATTTATTGATTCTTGATTTTAACTCTTGTGCTATAGGTGTCCTATTACGGAATTCCGGGTCCAACTTCACGAGATGGAGATTAGGGCCAACTTTTTCTTCTATTAGACACAGAGGCTCTGGTTTGACTCCTAGCTCTTTGATCCATTTTGAGTTAATTTTTGTGCAAGGACCTGAACAGACACTTCTCAGAGAAGGATTTACAATCAATCAACAAATACACGAAAAAATTCTCATCTCTAGCAATCAGAGAAATGAAAATTAAAACCACCCTAAGATACCATCTCACTCCAGTAAGAATGGCAGCATTATGAAGTCAAAAAACAACAAGTGCTGGCGAGGATGTGGGGGAAAAAGGTACACTCATACATTGCTGGTGGGACTGCAAATTGGTGCAGCCAATTTGGAAAGTAGTATGGAGATTCCTTGGAAAGCTGGGAATAGAACCGCCATTTGACCCAGCTATTCCCCTTCTCAGACTATACACAAAAGACCTAAAAAGAGCATACCCAGGGACACAGCCACATCAATGTTTATAGCAGCACAATTCACAATAGCTAGACTGTGGAAACAACCTAGATGCCCTTCAATAGATGAATGGATAAAAAAAAAAAAAGTGGCACTTATACACAATGGAATATTATGCAAAACTAAAAAATAACAAGATCATGGCGTTTGCAGAGAAATTGGTGGTATTAGAGCAGATTATGCTAAATTAGCCAATCCCTAAAAAACAAATGCTGAATGTCTTATCTGATATAAGGGAGGTGACTCTAAATGGGGTAGGGAGGAAGAGTATGAGAAGAAGACTACCACTAAATAGGGAAGAGAGGTGGGAGGGAATGGGAAGGAGAAGGGGAATTGGACAAAAGATGGAAGGAGACCATCATCGTTATACAAAATACATGTATGATGATGTGAGGGGAGAAAAAAGGAAATGTGTCACATTAGATTTGGTAGAGAGAGGTGATAGGAGGGGAGGGGAGGGAAAGGAGGGATAGGAAGGGCAGCAGAATAAAGTAGACACTAGTATTGCTGTATGTATAAATGTGGCTGTATAACCAATGTGCTTCTGCAACCTGTACACTTGGAAAGATGAGAAATTATACCCCATTTGATTCAAATGTATGATATGTCAAGATCATTGTATTGTTATGAGCAACTAATTAAAAAAGAAAAGAAAAAAATGTGTCTTTAGTACAAATTTTCTTGAGAAATAGCTCTGATTTTTATTTTTATTTGAATAATTCCTCGCTTTACATTTTAAATATGAAATATTACTATATAAGCTATTGAGATCTCAATACTACATATGTCTATATTAACTCATGCATGTACACTCCATATTCTTGTGCTAAACAAACTTCACAACTAGAGTATGCACATAGTTATATCATTCATTTAGCCTCACTATATCAACTCAATACATTATTTTCAAAGGTACTTGGGTGAACTTCTCTTTCCCTTAATAATTTTTTATAAATTTTATTTATAATTCAGTTTTTGATATGTATATTTCATTTGAGAATTTTACTCTTCCAATTTTCTAAAATAATCTTTCTTCCTTTCTTCTTTCCTTCCTTCTTTCCATCCTTACTTCCTTCCTTTCTTCCTCCCTTCTTTTTTATATGCCATTGTACACTCTTTGTCATGTGCAGCTTCATGAATTTTGACAAATTCATTGGACCATGTATCCACAATACTTGTTCCATATAGAATAATCCCATCATCTCATCTTTAATGATGTTCTCTATTTCATGTCTGATGTGGGTAAAATGTGACTTCTTCAGTCTGATTATAAGTTTGTCAATTATGTTGATTTATTTTAAAAGACTCTGGTTTAAATAATCCTCCTTAATTTTAGTTATTATTACATCAGTTTTTGATCTTTGTTTTAACATTATATTCTGGGCTGGAGATGTGACTCAAGTGGTAGCGCACTCGACTAGCATGTGAGAGTCTCTGGGTTCAATTCTCAGCACCACATAAAAATAAAATAAAGATATTGTGTCCACCTAAAACTAAAAAATAAAGACTTTTAAAAAATATTGTTTTTCCTCTTTTTGATTTAGGTATAAGTCATTTCCCTCCCCGCCCCTCTATCTGTATCCCTCTCTCTCTTCTTATGGGAAAAGCTTAGATTGCTAATTTGTGTAACCTCTTCTTTTCTTAAGTATTGATGCTATAATGTCTTCAGTATTTGAATTGATCCTACTAATAAATGAATATGTCTTGATTTTCTATTTAACACTTTTTGACATATACTGACCCAGACCTGTAATCAATGAGTCCTCCAAGAAACACTAGATTTATTTGAAAGAAAATAATATGGTGTTAGAAACCATACTGGATTATCACTGAATCTATCTTTTTTGCTACTGAGTTTTTGATGGTGTCTAGACATTTTCAGTGGGGACAAATAGCAAAGCTGGCATATAAAAACAGGGTTGTTAATTGTGTTCTTTGAATAGATATATAGATGGGTTGCTAGATAGAGCTATTGTCTCTTGATGAACAGTCATTCTCAATTGTTCCAATGATACTAAATTCAGCAACTCTTCAATTTATTAAAAAAAATCATGTAGCACTGTTGAGAGCCACAGCCAACTAAGGATGGCGCCTGGCATTTTGCCAGAAGGAGTGGTTGAGAAGTAACACCAGCAAGCCATTAAGATGATGATAATTAAGTTAAGCTGTGTATAATTATTAAGAGAATGACTGATTGCTGTAACTGGATGATGCTAAATTGAAACAAACTGTGTATTCAGTTGTGTATATAAATCTCTGCTATCCAGCAATAAGGCGGCTCCTGCTACCTCGGGTGCCCGCTACTTTTGAGGTCCCATTGAGTTCTTACAGAGTTCCCATTGGTTCTCAAGGAGTTTCCACGGAGTTCTGGAGAGTTCCCGTTAGGTTCAGGCAATAAAGTAGTTCCTGTTTTGAACCTACAAGTGGCTCTTGACCTCCCGGTTATTTTGTTCCCAGCCAGACTGCGGCATTCACTCTCAAAAATCGAATTATTACCAGCGAAAGCAGTTTTAACTATTTTGGGTAATTCTTTTTTCTTAAGACATTTTTTGCCAGAGATGTGGAGCCCAATTTTATGTTTCAAGGTCATCTTGAATAAGTTGCCCCACTGTGCTAATGACACTAACTGGATAAAGGCTCATTTTTCTTATTTCACATCTGGTTTTAGAGATATTGCTATTTATTTTTTATAATGTTTTCCAGTTTGAAAGTGGAATCTAGAAAATTAAAGATATATGAGGAAATCTATTTCTGAAACCACAATTTTCCTCTTTCTCCAATAGGAAACAATTTGTTTTATTAAACTTACATTTTAGCCCGTGTTTTAAAATATTATACAAATATATATATATATATATATATATATATATATATGCAAATATTTCACTACATAGTAATATGTATTTTCTCTGTTTATAACTTTTAGTTATTAAGAGCATTTTTCTTTTTTTTTCTAATGCTGACATCTATGGTATTATATATGTGTCATCCTTATTCCCTCTTTAACTGATCTTATTTAAAATTTTTGTTTTAAAATGTCAATTAGCTAATGGCCTCCATTTTTCTTCATGAATACCCTTGCAAACATCTTGTTTGATTAAATTTATTTATATCCAATTGCTACATGTAACCTTAGGAGTAAAATTATTGTACTTTTTGCATTATGACCAAATTCTGCCTTCATTTTTTATAACTTTCATTGATCAAAATCAAATTAAAAGATGTCCCTAAATTGTTGATTGCTGAAATTCATCTAAGTGGGATATATACTCATTTTATAGTGTGTTTTCTGACACAACTGCTATCTCAACTAAGTTCCATATGGAAATCTATGTTTAAAGCACATGATTAACCCTCATATTGTTGCCATTCTAGCAACTTTTACCATATTATGTTTGTTCTTTAATCTCCTTGAGAAGAACATGATTCAGTATTTCATAAGGCCTTGCATGTTCATGGGTGGTTGATTGAGACATTTACCCTTGAAGGTCACCTATGTGAATATGAAATTCTTGGCTCATATATTTTCTCTTTGTATATCTTAAGTATGTTACACCTTTGATTCTGGTAGAAATTATTACTGTCCAAAGTGCGATAAAAAATCTCATTTTGTTTTTAACCTTAAGTAAATTTACTTTCTCTTCTACCCTAAATACTTGAACATTTTAAACTTTTCTTTAAAGTTCAACAGTGTTGGTGATTCCATAGTCTATGTGGGTATTATAAGGATCAAAATACAAGAAACACAGACATGATAATTGTCTAAAAATTATTGCTTAAAATAATAACTTGTGTGAAGAAAAACTTTTAAATCAAAAGAGTAATTAATTAAGCAAGAAATTAAATATTATATATATATATATATATATATATATATATTTCCATCCATGAATCATAGAACTATAGAATCCAAAAACTGTTTCAAGAACGGTCTTCTGTAATTTTTTTCAATAATAAAATGAATGGAAAAACAGATACCCAACAAACTGAAGTAATTCTAAGGCCCTAAGAATTATTCTATCACCGTGTATATTAAAAATTTAAGTAACAAATTCTTTATTTTTGCTTATATTTTCTGATTTTTTTTCTGATTTTATCCATGTTTTCTTACTATTTTATGTTTCTGGGTACATTTGTAACATACATTTTATTTGTAGTGTGTATAAAAATAAAGTTAGAACAATAACAATGTCATTTTCCTCCAGAGAAGGAAAACCCAAAGACACAGATCTTGGTGGGTCCTGGAATTCAATAACTGTTGTTCTTCTTGGTAAGGCAGCCAAAAAGTTCTTTCTAGCGTTTATCTCAGAACCTTAATGGAATATTCTGGAACCTTAAAATTATTACAAGAAAAGTGACTTTAAATGCTGTGATCACTTCTCTGTCCACTTCTGTCTCCATTCATTGGCTGCTACAGGTTTATTTTCTTGATTTCTCCAAGTAAATTCAGGTTCCTTTGTTTGCTACAATGTAAGATGAAGTTCAAATTATCTTGTTCAAAATTGTACAACACAAAAGTGCTCATTTAGTATTTTTAGAAGACTTGACACATAGATATGATCCCCTATTGACAGGTGACAAACATTGGAATCAGAAAGATTAATTGATCATTCATTGCTAATATAGCTAAGTGGAAAAATAGATCTAAATGACTTCATAGCTCAATTATTAATTAATTATTTTATTTCCTTTATATACTGCACTCCTATAAAGTATACACAGCATGCTTACACATGATTAATGTTTATAACTATTAGCTCGTTTAATTCCCTTAACAGCAAAAGAAGTTATCCCCACTTATTGATGATAAGAACTAAATTGAAGATTGTGGGAGGCTATCCTCGCACATGATTTGAGTTACCTCCCTGGCTGGGTGAGAGGCGTTTAAACACAGCTGTGTTACCCCCTCCCCCTTCCCAGGTCCAAGTGCCTGTCCATGCAGAGGCGTGCCTGGCCACTGACCTGAAGACCCAATCATCGTCCTTGACCTTGGGATGCTGCCCCCCTTAACCTTCATTGGATGAGATTTTCCCTTGAATTATTCATTCCCCAATAAAAGCTCACTCCCTGATGTGCTCTCCCTCTCTTGCTAGTCTCTTCTGTAAACCTCACCACCACATTAGGTGGCTAGAGGTGGGAGCTAGGAGAAGGCATCTCGGAGCTGGTGTTAAAGGTAATGAGAGTCTATCTCTTTAATTTGAAACTCACTAGCAATTTCTTATGCACTGAACCTTCTTTCATGAAGCTTGCTCTTGTGGTGTGGCAGAGAAGATAGTTTATGTATCTAGAAGGCATTATTTAATAAAATACAAACGTCCTGAGTGCCTGTTCTTAACCAGCTTTCCCACCTAGTAAAAAATGCCTTTAAAATATAATGACATGTCATGGAGAATATTGGGTCAATGCAAAGAGCATCAATTAAAAAATCACTATATGGCCAGGCACATGGCACTGCCTATAATCCTAGCAGCTTGGGAGGCTGAGGCAGGAGGATCATGAGTTAAAAGCCACCCTCAACAATAGTGAGGGGCACTAAGCAACTCAGTGAGACCCTGTCTCTAAATAAAATATAAAAATGGGCTGGGGATGTGGCCCAATGATTTAGTGTCCCTGAATTCAATCCCCAGTACACACCCCCACCAAAAAAAAAAAACAGTACATGCTTAACACTCTATTATTAGCTTATTTTATTTTGAAAAACATGGTTTAAATTAAACAATATATCAAAGAAATTTGTTCCAAATAATAGAGATATGTTAAGGATGCATTAGGTATACAAAGAAGATGATCAACACTTTTCAGCAGGTAGTTTCATCAGATACTTATTTTTCCCTGAGATAATCTGCTTCACAATTGAGAAAACACAGCAGAAGCACATTCAGTGTTAAATAACTATGAAAAATACAACTTTATTTCAAGCCATAGCATTTAATTAGTCGTTTTATGAGAGGTTTCAATTTCAAATAGAGGTCATGATTGATGATAATTGAATAATAATGAAGAAAATATCCACCATTGTAATAATAGTACCAGGTTATGTATGCATTTTTTTTTTTATTTTTAGGACTTTTCAAAAACAGTTTTGGACATTTATTTGGTGGTTTTTCTAGAATTAATCAGGAAAGTTCCCTCAGCTAAAAACTGTAGAAGAAAACAAGGCTCTGTATGTATACCAGTAATTTAAGCTGTACATCGGAGTGCCGGAACAGTATTTAAACTTCTACTCCTCTTTGCACTCCACACTCCTTGTTGCTGGGATTTTATAAAACTCTACAGAAGCTAGGTGCTGTAGCACACACCTGTAATCCCAGCAGCTCTGGAGGCTGAAGCAGGAGGAGAGCAAGTTCAAAGTCAGCCTCAGCAACAACGAGATACTAAGCAACTCAGTGAGACTCTGTCTTTAAATAAAATACAAAATAGGAGGTGTGGAGGTGTGGCTCAGTGGTTGAGTGCCCCTGAGGTCAGTTCTGGTATCCTCCCACCACCAAAACTAAAAATAAAATACAGAGTAAGAAGTTCCCATAGAACATTTTTGTTTTCAAAGACAAAAGCAATTGTTTTTCCAATGGTCTTCTGAAAATACAGTGGAAAGTCAGGGTAAGTTTTTTAACATGCAAATATCAATATAGTACATGAAAACCTTTGGGTGAGAAATAATAGCAAATGCAAAGTACATTTAAAAATATTGTATAAGAATTTTATCTCTGGGATTTGCTTTCTTTAAGATATATATATATATATATATATATATATATGTATATATAAATATATACATATATATATGTATGTATACACATACACACACACACACACATATTCTTTCTCAGAATCATCTCTTGTTTCTTGATCCCGTAAACTTAAGTATGGATAACCAAGTGGGAAATTTAGGGAAAATATGAATACATAGGCAGTTCTGTTGTACAAACTAAAATATAATCCCCCAAACAAAATTATTACCACCTAAAACTGTTAAAGTCATTTTATTTTATTTTTTCACTGTTTATTCTGCTTGTATTAATATAAGGACAAATGACTCAATCTTAAATTTGTTTTTTGTGTATTGATAATTCAGAGAAAGTAACTGATAAATATTAGACAAAAAGGAAGAAATCATGCATGAAGCTATCTTGCTGAGCAGCTCTCTGGGTGCAGTGCTGGATGAGATTAAGAGGTTGCCAGGAACTATCAAAAAAGCAGGCATTTGCCTGAGTGTGCTCTCCCACTAAGTTCTTAACCCCTACATATTCTTCTTCTGAATCATTTAGGTGGAGAAGGGTCCTTTTGTCTAGTAGTACTTAGATTTTTTCCTAAGGGTGGACACACACACACACACACACACACACACAGGAAAAAAAAAGATACCTAGTAAAGAACTGAAGAGTAAAATCATGAGATTACTTTGGAGAGAATTATGTAGGATGAGCTCTAATGGCTTATCGTCCATCCAACCAGGGTTCCAGGAGGGAGAACATGAGGCACTGTAGTAGGCAAAAACAGGAAAGCTCAACATCACACAACATCCCTAATAACTATTTGAACCTGTGGTACTAAAAGATACTGCATGGCAAGAATACAGAAATATTATTGCAAAATATGTCTATGGACTTTAATTATTTCTAATTGGTTTCTGATAAGATGACCCCCATCATCTTTGGAAGAAGAGTATGTGTCCGCTCCGTTAAATAGATATGACTGTAGAAAACAAATAGCTTACATCAAACAGTGCTCTTATCCCATTTCCAAAAATAATATAATGCTGACATATAGAAAATATTTTTAAATAATTTGACCATTTGAGGTTTTGGAATGCAAGATTTAATTACCTCACTGTCACCTGTCTGTGTATTACACTTATCATGTTTGGACAATGTCAGTTATTATCTTTAACAAAAAATAAAATAAGCAGTAAAACGCAATTTATAAGGTCAGAAGGAAAACATCCCCATTTCATAGAGAAATGCTGAAGAAGAGGTACTAAGAGAATACCATAATCATTAGTAGGAAAAAAAATGGGACAGGGATTGGGTAGAAAATGGAATTGGTCTCACATTTTTTTTAAGAGAAAAAATTTTTTTTAATATTTATTTTTCAGTTTTTGGCTTGCACAACATCTTTATTTTATTTTATGTGGTGCTGAGGATCAAACCCAGAGCCCCACTCATGCCAGGCGAGCGCATTACCACTTGAGCCACATCCCCAGCCCTGGTCTCACAATTTTTCAGTCAAGCATTGAATGTTCTATTATTAACAGGGAAAAAAGAAGAATCCCTGGAAAATGCCTATTGGGTCGAGGGGATGTCACTGATTTTAAAAAGCACAACTGTGTTCCCAGCACTGACTCAAATGATGGTTCCACAGGACACGATAGCACCCCATTAATATCTTTGTCAATTTTGAGTATATTCAAAATTCCTAGAAGCACCACTTCAAGTAACAGTGTATGAAACAAGAACATTAATAAATGCTGATCACAAGTTCTACATGAAAGTTCAATTCCATTTATATTTTATTATGTATAGGAAATATCAAAATATTACTTTAGCATTCAGAATTTTGTATAATCATTTAAATAGAATAGAAAGTAGAAATTATACCCTGAAAACATATTTTTAAACACCGTATAAAGAGAAATTTCATGCTGAAGTAGACTATTTTAAAATATTCTTATACAGATTTAAACTGAAACAATCATAAATTGAGTATCAGTTTGTGTATGAGTGTGTGAGACACAGAAAGACAGTGTGGCAGTGGTAGTAGATAATAAATAAGTAATTAAGTGAAATGAATTCATTAATAAGAACTCATGATCTGAGTTTTACAATAATAGCATATTACTACATACTGGTGAGCAAGTTTTTGAGACATAAATCACAAAAATCAATTGAATGTAATTGATAAGGATGAGGGCAAAGGAAAAAATATACTTTTTAATTGCTAAAGAAAAATGATAAAACTTGCACTTCCCTAGAGGAAAAGTCAGCAGAAGATTCACCTAGCATATTCTGTAGACACAGAGAGAGAAAAAAAAAAAAAAAGCATGTACTGTTGAAACTTTAAGGTCAAGTAATAGCACAAGAGCCTTAGAAACAGAACAGAGTTGTTAATCAATTCCAAGACTGCAATTTACATTGCGCTAGAGACTATAATGAGTTGAGCAAGTGCAGTGCAAATAGATCTACTGATAGACATATCCTGAAATGTCTGTAGAGCAGTTTAGATGTTAATTTAATTAGTTTTTTAAAACCAGATAATTTCTCCCCCCCCCCAAATTCTGGCCTGTCAAAAGTTAAAAATCATCTATCTTAACCTGACAAACTAAATAAAATACCAAACAATTTTAGATAACCCCGACTCTTCAACAGCAATGATATGAAGCATGGTATTTCATTGGTTATCTAAAATATGAAAGTATAGAAAGACATGAATGATATATGATATAGAAAAATGACACAAAAATAAAAAT